CCTAAGAAAATTTTGAGTTTTGTCCCCAAACTATCCTTTGTCGCTCAAAATGACATTTGCAATTAAAGTAACATTGTTTGTAATTTTGCCAACATCAAGTTTTTATTGTGAAGAAAGCATTAAATCAACCTTTATAAAAGGTAAAGTCTTTGGGTAGAAATGGGCTCAACATCATCTAAATCGATTAGGTCATTGAAATTGTCAGAGGAAGAAGTGACAATGAATTAGGAGCTTGGGGAAAAAAAGATTTGGCCTAGAAGTTGGGGGATTTTAAAAGAAAAAAAAGTGATTGTGAGCAAGAAAAAAAATGCGCAACAATTTTTTTCTTATTGGCTTGTTTTTTTTATTCTATCTAATTTTTTAAATTTAAAAGCAAAAAAATATATAGAGGACAAAAATAAAACATGCAACTCAAGAAAGCCTCGTTACTTTAAGTATATAGTAAAATTACTTTAAAATTTTATCCTTAGGAATCAAAAAATAAAATGCAAATATAACCTATTTTGTCTTCATTAAACAATTCATAAAGCAATTTGTTTAAAAAAGAACTAGAATAAAGAGAAAATGGGTGAAAAAGTAAAGGCCAAATAATAAGAAACACTAGTTGGAAGGAATATGCCAAGTCACACCATGGTAGAGGTGGCAAATGGAAAGGATCACTTAGGATAGAGGTGCAGGAATAGAGGGCTTGCACTTGAGGTTTTGCTGAGAGCACCTTAGAGAAGAGGGATGTCAAGCTGGAAGGGGAATGGAAGCATTAGAGAGGGGTGCATAGGTTTTTTGGGAGAAAGGGTTGGGAAAAGAAAAGCAAAAAAGGTTTAGGAGAGAAAAAAATGTTGAGAAAAAAGAAAAAAATATGGAAGAAGATATTTAAAAGTTTAAGTTTTAGCAAAGGAAATTAACAAAGGAATTTTCCATTCCCAATTGAGTTTTTATAAAATAAAATAAAATAAAGTAACTGAACCTTAGTGACAATAATTTCCATCATAATTGATAACATTACCGATGGAATTTCATCAATAATATCGTTGATAATAACGGTGTGATACAAGTTTTTTGGCACTAAACATAATTGACAAAATTAGTAAGGGAAACTACTTCCTTCATTACCAAAAAAGTGAGTGACAAAAGTCTATCGATAATACCTAAAAATTCGTTGATAAAAATTCTTTTTAAAGATGTAAATTTTATCATTAAAGACCTATTTTTTTTATAGTTTCCTTGCATCTTCTCCAATATCTTTGATTTTCACTATTTTTTTTTTTGTTTCCTTTGTTAAAATTGTATTCAATTTTTTATTTTTTACATTCATGATCAGAGAAGAATTTTTTTATCACATATGTAGCATAGATTCTATGTTCTTCTTTACTCTATAATGATATGTTATTGAGTTAATGATAAGGTGTTGTTAGCATTTTTTTTTTTTGTATCTAGTTCCAATGACTATAGGGAGTTTTAGAAAGCTGATTTTATGTTTGGTGAAAGTTTTAATTTGATAAGTGTTTCGTGTTTCTTGTTCTCTAATTTCAAAGATAATTTGTCACTTACCTTGCTTATAGGCTACAGCTAAAGTGGATGGCTCATTTGCTTTCATTCTAAATTTAAGATCTTCTTTCAAATCACTCACAAAACTAGAAACAAAATAACATTCAACTAAGTGTTGGTCTAAATTATATAAGATTTAAGCTCTTTAAATCTCTTTTAGTAGTCCTTTACAATAGATTTTAATTCAATTTATTTAATTCTTTAATGACATCTAAACAAGTTTTGTCACTAAACCTTTGGCATAAATCAGTGGCAAATTCTTACTAAGTAAGCCTAGGTTTCTACATTACGTATCAATCAAACTAGACCTCTGCCTTACCAACAAAATAAGGTGAATTGGGTGAATAGGTAATTAATAAGGAAAAGATGAATAAGGGAGAAAGAAGAAAGAAAAAAAAAAAGTAAAATTTTGAAAAAGTCCTTTTTGTTCTTTTTTTTTTTTTTTGCCATGTTAGCTTTTTGTGATTTATAATTGCAATTTATTTTTATTTTAAAAGTAATTTTTATGAATTTTATTTAATAAATAACATTAAATATAAATTAACTTAAAAATAAAAATCTTTAATAGATAAAAATAATGCATAATACAACAAATTCTTTATAATCAATCCAATTGATCATAGAGTAAATGCTAACACACATGTAGCAACACTTGTCTAGCACCGATTAGCATACCAATACGCCCCCACAAATCTCACTAGGAGGCACACCAATACATCCGCTCAAAGCACTAAGATAGTGTTTAGTATAGGATGATCACTCCAAAAATCATGGTGATTTATACATAATGATTAAATCATTGTATTTGATAAGCACTTGATGATCCTATGCCGATGATCTTGGATTATTGAGATTGATTAGACTACTACCTTAGATGATGATATAATTCTCAAACAAAAAAGTAGGAAACTTTTATCATCAAGGTAAAGTGATATGTAAAATTAACAATAGTCAATTTTACTCATTTAATATGTAAATTAAAAAATTGTTACATCTTAAAATTGTAATTATTTTATATTATAAATTTTTATATTTTCAAATTAATATTCATTGTAATAAGTTCAAAATTAATTTGTATATTTTTTATTTTTTACTATTTTATATATAATATGATTTTTTATTTCAAATATTTTTTACATAATTTAATCAATTTAATTTATATTATAAAAATTAATTTATCTATCAATAAATATATTTACTAATTTAATAATTTAATTATATTTTATTATAAAATAAATAAATATTACTAATATTTATAAATTATTATTTTCAAGCGAACTTAAAATTATTAATTTATATAATTATTATGATATGTCTAATTATTTTTGTATTTTTAAATAAAATAATATTTGATTTTTAGTAATACTAAATATAGCGATATTTAATTCTTAAAAATTAATCATTATTAACCAGATAAAATGATTTTAAATTATGAGTGTTAAAAATATTTTGATAAAAAATTATCCTGATAATTATATTCTTATAATGATTTTTCAAAAAAATACTAAACACCACATATGAATTCAAGTTTTGATATCAACTATCGCAAATCCATATTTTCAATCTGAAAAAAAAAAAAATGCCTATTAGCGGGACGAAAATCTTGACTAATAAACTTAAAATCTATTCATCTTTTTTCTAATGCAACATTCGAAAAAGGGAACATGAGGCGACGGGCTATCTCCGTCATTCTTTTTGTGAATGGTGTAGCATGATTATATCACTCCCCAATTTTATTTTCAATCCACATTTGCAACATTATTTTTATGTTGTAAAAACTGCTACGTAATTACCTAACAGCGCATGATTTGGTTTGAGGAATAAAATAGAAGGGCGAATGAGATAAGTTTGTCTGGAAACAAAATAGATGAATAGAATATATATTATAAAATTTGGTTCAATTGAATGGAATAAAAAATTTAATATTAATATGCTTAGTTAGATCATGAAATATGGATAGGATAAGCTTAAAAAACTAAACTAAAATATTTTATTTTTGACATAAAAAAATAAAAAATTTAAAATTCTTAATCAAATATTTTTTAGTTTAGATGAAATATTCTTTTTCATCCACAGGTGTTTAGAATTGTATTAAAAACATAATAAGATTGTAAAATTCTATCAAACAAAAGTAGAATGACAAATGTGAAGCTCCCAATCTAATGGAGTGATAAATTTGACCCTTAACTCAAAACAAATTTAAATGTTGAGTCATTTTAAATTAATTTTTAAATTATTTTACTCTGAATTAGTTTGAATTATTTTTATATTTGCATTGGGAGTAAATGAATTAAATATAAATTAATTTTATTATATTTATAATCTGTTAATTTAATTAACAAATCTTGAAATATTATTTATGATTATTAGTTAAATTTAATAAATAAAAATTAAACTTTTTAACAAATTATTTACTAAACATTTTGTTTAGTTATATTCTTATATGTAAATAAACTAAAATTAAATTTATTATATTTTATTATATGAACAAATTTAATTTATAATATGAATAGATTTTATTATAATTATAAGTTATTAATTTAATTAATGAATTTTAAAATATTATTTATAATCATTTATTATATTTAATAAATAAATAAAAATTAAATTTACCCACAAATTATTTTCCGAACATTTTATTTACATCCCTATTCAAATCTGTTCAATTGCCTCCTCTCTACCTTCTACCCGAATTAATCACAAAAGAAAAACAAAGCTGCATCCAATAAAAAAAAAAAAAAACTGCCATCGCCACTGGTCAAAGCATCGCGTTTGTTTGTCCTTGCAAATACGAAAACCACGTTTTTTCTTTTCACTTTTTAGTTGTGTGAAATGTAAAGACCTCTTCAACCAAACATTTAACAAAGTCAAATTTTTAGCATGCAATTGAAAAGCATGTTTTTTATTTTTTAATATTAAAAGTTATGAAATTTAATTTTATAAAAAAATTTTAAATTTAATATTACATATATTAAAATTAATTTTTTTAATTTCATGAAAATCAATATGATTCAAATAATTTGAAATGAAAGTAGTATAAAAAATATTAAATATTTAATTAATTAAAAATAAAACAAACAAACATAGAAATAGTAGCAAAGAAAAAGATCAAGGGAGAAAAGAAAATTAAACATGAATATTAAAAGGAAGCAAAAGTCACAGGTTTTGTACTTAAAACATTTGGACAAGAACAGAAAGAAAAACAGTGATAGTGCTGGCACCTACCAAAAACATCAGACAAATAAAAAACACAGGCAACATTTTTGTGAAAAAAGAAAAGAAGGTAAAACCACACACAAAATAAGGACAAAAAAAAGTTATATTCCATTTATAGGCCGTTATTTATCCTTTATTATTATTATTTTTTTCAATAAAAACGCAAAGGCGAAGCTTTTATCTCAAACCTCAACCAACCCCATAATATCATCATCTTTCTCATAACAAGATTCCCCAGAGACAAGAGTAAAACCAGAAACAAAAAAAAAAAAAAAAGGAAAGGATCCACGTCAGCTTTCCCATGGATTCAACCAAAGCTCAACGTCGACTTTACACCATTCACGGCCACCTTGTCTCCGACGTTGCCTCTGCCTATTCTCATTCCGACCTCCGTGCTAGCCCTACTGCCTGTGAGTTCGTCTCTGGTACGTGTGTGTGTGTGTGTGTGTATGGTTGAGAAGAACAATGATATATATGCTTGGTCGGTTTGTTTTGTTTTTAATCCTGTTTTCTTCTTATGGGTTCATGGCCCTTTGCTGAAAAAAGTAGATGCTTTTTGTTAGTACTATAAATCATAAATGTATATTTTTGGTCTGGCTTTTGGTTTTGAATGATTGTTCTTTAAATTTTGTATGTAATTTTTTTTTCTTTCTTTTTGGTCTTTCTTATTCTGATGCGGAAAGTGGAAAAAATTCTTACTTTTTTTGATCCCGGAATTATTCATAGGAAGCATAAAGTTGATTGTTAAAGTAAGATTTTTTGGTAATAGGATTATGAGTGTCATTCAGACAGATAGAAAAGATTTGCTCTTTGATTGTTTTCTAGTGTCATTTTCCATCAACACAGTCAATGGACGATGGGTTGGTTTGCTGATATTAGAAGTAATGGACAAGTTTTTTATGGCTCCCAAGAAGCACTTTTAGTCGAATTTAATATGTGTCAGTGATATTTGATAGAAATGTTGTAATATTGGTTCATGGGAAAGAGTAATGTCATTGGACAGAAATGTGGTAATATTGGTTAAAAAAGGATGTTGCCCAACTTTATAATACGTTGATATTTAATATTATCGGGAGGCTTCTGGTTCTGGTTTTCCCTTTGGGAGCTAGAAGCATTGTCTCCACAGAATTGAGAATGAGCATTTTTTTAAGATTTTTTTTTTTTTATATAATTTAACTCATATCCTGAGAGCTGGTTGTGATGCCCGGTTGAAATGTGTTGAGTTGGGTGAAGATGAAAAAGAAAAAAAAAAAAAAGATGAAATGGACTTTGTTAGAGGAATATATTCTAGAGAATGGGTTTATGTTATGTCAATGTGGCTGCAGACCCAAAAAATGTATTTCACACTACACAAGCTTTTGTAATAGTGTTTTTTGTTTTTTTCTTCATTTAGATGGTGTCTGACATGAATTCATTGTTCTATATCAGTCATAGGGGTGATAATAATTGCTTTGAAGGTTTAGTTCCTTTATAACATGTTCCAATGTAGTCTGAATAGTAGTCGTTAGATAGAGAAGATGTCAAGCAATCAATTTTGGAATTTGCCTATTAGTTAGTCTCTTGTAAATCTGCAATTTATTGTGTTAAGTGAGAGTAGAAAATTATGGACTATGCCTGGAGGGTGTCAAGATGCTGAGGCGTATCTCCTTTGTTTTAGTTGTGAGCAGGACCTATGGGCCTGGCTGGCATGTTTGTGAGTTGTAGGTGAGGTCGACTGGATGTTTGTTAAATAGCTAAGAAAAAAAATTGTTGTACTGGTCTCTTTGTTGAACTATCGCTATAGGGTAAAAGAATGATTTGAGTTTGAATTGCATGGATTGTAGGAAGTGGCCATCTATTTTATGATAGACGAAGAGACGTTAGCGCTGATAGCCAATTTATCCATTATGATAAATAATACGGATTTAGTTTCTATCTGATTTACCTATTAGAAGCTGACATATATTGCTAATTTATCTGTTTTTATTATCTGTTGATATTGATTTTTGAGCAGAACAGGGTTATAGTGTTGTGCTGCCAGAGAAATTGCAGACAGGAAAATGGAATGTATACAGGTAAGACTCTGCAACTATCCTTTGTATTATTTGTTCTGCATTGTCCCTTCTCTGTTCAGCTGTTGTCAATATTTATTTTAGTTTTATTCCTTATGGTAGATCTGCTCGCTCTCCATTGAAGCTTGTGACGAGATTTCCTGATCATCCTGATATCAGTACATTGCACGAAAATTTTGTGTAAGCATCTTCTTCTTTTTTTTTTTTTTTTTTCTGTCCGAATCACGTTTAAATTTGTGTGTGTGGCTGTCATGCATTACAAGAAAGCTTTATCATCTATTTCATGTTGAAGTACTTGAAATGGTTTCTTCACTTTTCATTATTTCTTTATTTGCTTTTTATTCAGATATGCGGTTGATACCTTCCAAGATTACAAATATCTTGGTACAAGAATTCGAGTTGACGGAACTGTTGGAGAGTAAGTTTCCTTTTGACAAAATGGAGGTCACAGTTTGTTGTCAAAGTTCCTTCATTCATTTACTTTCATTTTTTATTCATCAAGGTACAAGTGGATGACATATGGAGAAGCTGGTGCAGCTCGGGCAGCCATAGGTTCTGGCCTAATATATCATGGAATACCAAAGGTAAGCATTTCAGCGGTAATTATATGTTTGATATTAGGCGCTGCAGAACTTTTGTCTGCAATAAGTTTATTGCCTGGTGAACATATGTGCATTACATAACATGCCCGGTTTAAATTAATAGATTATTCCTCATGTAGCATGTGGTTCTACTGCTTCTATTATGCCAGGGCTCTTGTGTTGGAATATATTTCATCAATAGACCAGAGTGGCTCATTGTAGATCATGCCTGCTCAGCATATTCCCTTGTATCAGTTCCTTTATATGACACTCTAGGTTTGCCACTGGCCAAATTATCTCCTTTTTAATTGAATGTTTGTTCATCTTGGCCTATTGTTAAGATGCTTAATGGAAAATTTTGTTTCTCTGCAGGTCCAGATGCTGTCAAGTACATTGTAAATCATGCAGATGTGAAAGCCATATTTTGCGTGCCTCAAACATTGAATTCTGTAAGCCTAGTCTGTGCTCCTTTTCAGGCTACACATAAGTAGAAGATGGCTATTTGATCTGGAAAAAATAATCTTGAAAGAATTAATTTTTTTCTGCAACTATATTCTTTATATGCTAGGAATGAGATCTCTTCCAGTTTCTAATTGCTTCCTAAAATTGGATTGTGGCTCTGATGGATAGGGTGAGAGATTTAAATAGGGCTTAAATATATAAATATATATATATATATATCTCTATAGATTACCCAGAGCATCCAGTGGCCGTTTCGAGAAAGGATAATGGTTTTTGACTTTCACAATGTCGATAGAATAAAGCTGTCTTCCACTTCTTGGCCTAATGGCAAAGAAGCCTTAAGAAAGATATTAAAGCTTGGTTTCGAACCAAGCCACCCCCTTCCCATTGCCCTCCTTTGAAAAAAAAAAAAAAAACTATTTTTAATGCGTGCTCTCAGAAGGTGTTAGGAAAATGCATGAAAAATGTTGCTTATTATTCTAAGGTCTAAACTCTAGAATTACTTGCTTCATGAATTGAAGGGAGATTTTTCTTCAAAAGTTACAATGAACGTGTTTGTTACAAGTCAAAGTCAATTTCTTGACAACCATCGAAATGTCATTAACTGCTACACCATTATGTAAGCATGGCACTGCCGTTTAGCTTTATGCGGCGTAAGGGTTTTGTATGGGGTTGTCTTCTCTGTTAAATCATTGTTTATTAGTGTCTTTCTTCCTCCTCTTGATCACTTCCTTCATGTCTGTCCTTAACTGGAGTGAGATCTGTCTCTTCTGGCTATGAACCATGAATGCATTGGTGCCTTGGTAGCCAATTTTTTGACCAATATGGGCCATTGGTTTCTTTCTTGGATGCAAGAACAATGATTTCATAGACATGCTTGAGTAATTTTCTTGTACACAGCTGTTTTCAGCATTTTTAGGTCTCAAGTCTTTTTGTTTCCCTTTTTAAGGATATCTTACTGCTTCTAGATTATTTCTTTGGAATATTTGCATTATTTGTTCTTCCTTCTTACTTCTTTCCTGGGCATGTAATTTGGATGGTTGGAAGTAGACTCTGGAATTTAAATCCCATTCTTCTGTAAATCATAAATCCCTTTTTCTACGTCCCTCAATTGGTCGTAAGTACTTATTCTCTTTTCCTCTAAATGGTGTTTAAAATGAGTGAAAGAAATAGCCAATATTTTGCATGAGCCCTCAAATTTTACTTGTATTTTACTTCATTGACTAATTAATTTTGTACTTGACACATTTTTTGTATTCTAGTCCATAATACTTTGAGGATTCTGAATTTGTTTCACAAGATTTATTCATCTTTCCACTTGGAATTTGCAGTTGCTGAGGTTTCTGTCCGAGATTCCATCCGTTTGTTTGGTTGTGGTATAAACCTGCCTGATCTTTCTTGCCAAACCTTTCAAACCTTCTTGCTGAGTTTTTGAACAAGAGAAAAAAGTACATACTGATTTTCCATTTTCTCAGGAGTATAATTATTTGCTTCTCTACTCTGTAGGTGGTTGGAGGATTTGACAATGAAGTGCCTTCACTGCCATCGTCAACTGGCATTCTAGTCGTGACATATTCAAAATTATTGAGTCAGGTAATTAGAAATCCCTTTTATCTACATCACAGTAGCAGCTTATAGTGACATCATCTTGGTAACTTTAGAATCAATAATATTAATGATTTGATCTTGTATAACCTTTTAAAGTTTATTATTTCAGATTGCCCAAATGGTTAAAACAAGAGCAAGCATGCATTTAGTTTTCCAAATTTGGCTTGCGTTTTTTCTTCTGTATATGTTTTGGTATTTGGATATCTTTTCTTCTTATTTGACTTTCAAGGTATCTCTCAAGATATCTTTTCCATAGCAATAATGTCATTGTTTCTTAATAAATTGATTTGGACCGTACACAGGTAATAATCTATGTTAGTTGCGTTTAAGTGGCTTTTTTCTATTGTACATGATCAATCTATCATTTAATCTCTAATCTTGGCAACTTCTTAGAGGCCATGCTCTAAGTAAGGAGGCTTGTCCTTATCTTCATTGTTGCTTTTTCTGGTTTTGGTGGCCCAGAAACTCAGGGTTGATAATGTTTTTACGGTAATTCAGAAACTTATTTCTGCAAACATCCACAACCCAACACACAATTGTGCCTAAAATGCCTTTGGTTGCATGCCTAATATGTTATCAGTAGACGTATTCCTCCTGATTTTGGTGTCTATAGATAAGCTCTCGGCTTCATTTCTGATGCTGTGTTTTTATTTTATTTGTTTATTCGATTGGAGTCTGGCTTCAAGGTTATCTGATAATATGCAATATTATAATGTTGCTCTATCGTTGTGTGGTATAATTGTTTCTCATGCGAATGGTTCCTACAGGGCCGCAGTAACCTTCGGCCTTTTTGCCCACCTAAACCAGATGATGTTGCAACCATTTGCTACACTAGTGGTACAACTGGAACACCAAAGGTATAGCTTAGTCCTAGGGATTTTAACTGATCTGAATAACCATATTAGGTAAATGAAGGTTGTTTTATTCGCCTACTTATTCTTCATAAATTTTGGCCAGGGAGTTCTGTTGACCCATGGAAACTTGATTGCAAGTGTTGCTGGATTCAGTATTACTACAAAATTTAACCCCACTGACGTGTAAGTTCTATTGGTGTTAAACAAATACAAATCATAATATATTTTGGTTAGTATTTATGGATGAATCTACTGGTATTTACATACACTTTCTTGCTGAAATATTTGTCCTTTCTTCAGTTTCATATCGTATCTTCCTTTGGCACACATTTACGAACGAGCTATGCAGATCTCTTTATTGTATTTTGGAGTTGCAGTTGGATTCTACCAGGGGGTATGAGAGTAAACCTAAACCCCTTCTGCTCTCATATATGATCTTTGATTGGTTCAATGTTTTTCCTTTAAACTGGAATAATTTATTTAATTCATCTGGTCCACATTCTGACTGCATTTGTGAAATTGCTGATTGAATGAAATCATGTGATTCTTGTTTAAAACAAATTCAACAAGCAAAAAGTTTTGACTGTCGAATGTCTAGGTTTGCATCTTTATTTTTGTGAATCCTACTCTTTAGTGGTCATTGGATTTGATTTGCAAAATGATCTTTGGTTTTTATTTTGTCCTTTTTGGAATTTTTAGATGGATAAAGGTTACCTTCTAAGTAAAAGCTAACTAGTGTAGCTCAATGTAGTGAAGCTCTTTTCTTCTTTCTTTTGTTAATAGTAGTCAGATTGTTTTCAAATCCATATAAATTATAATTTCTCTAATTTATCTAAGAACTCGTCCATATTCTTGAAGCTGCAGTCTCACCTCTTGATACTATGTATGCTCTGTAGATGTGAAAAATTCTCTTTCGTTCTTGAGATGAAGCCTTTAATGCTGGTTCTTGATCTTTGCATGTAGGATAACATGAAATTAATGGATGACATGGTTGCTCTACGACCCACTTTATTCTGCAGCGTCCCTAGACAGTATAACAGAATTTATGCAGGGTACTACTCTGATTAGTTGATTGTGACTGATATGTTAATTGAATCATTTTATCAAACTCTTCCTTTGTGCAGTATTGTGAATGCTGTAAAGTCATCTGGTCCCCTAAAGGAGAGACTTTTTAATGCTGCCTACAATTCTAAGAAGCAAGCAATAATGAATGGTAAAGACTTACTTCACTAGATTTGTGTTTCCTTTTTTTGTCCCTGGCTGAAGGTTAGTGGTGAATGTCCTTTGTCTTATATTATGACTGTAGTTGCTTAAACTCTAGTCTATTTAAACATAGATGTACTTATTATGGTTATGGATTTGAGTTACGAAACTACTTAATAATAAACCGTAATAAAATCTTTATTTGTTAATTGATCAACTTGTCAATACCGTTGCATTTATGTATTAATTATATTTATATATGTAAAGTTGTGTGGAGTTGCAGTCCGTTTTGTATGGCCGATGGTGACCCGGAAAATAATGCCATGGAAAGATTAACTCTTAAGACTGATTCTTTAGTTAATTATGGTTGTGATCAATAATTCAGCATAAAGGTTTGCAGGTTTACAGTTTACTGTCCTTTCGACTGTTTAATTTTACCTTAAGAAGCCTGAAGATTAACTGGTTATCACTCAACCAATTCAGCAACCCAAATGATTTGGAAATTTTCAGAAAATCCAATCACTTCATAAATTCTGCTACAGTCCTCCTCCCTCTACCCTCTTGTATGCTTAGAAAGTGTACTATAGCATCCAAATAGTATCTATTTTTTTGTGCATTTTGTTTAACCAATGTGTAATAGAAATTATTAGCTCATTTTTTAAGAACTAAAGTAACCCTGCCAGACTGACATCTGATGTCAGGCGTACCAAAAGGATTGTTTTCTTTTAGTTATTGTTTTTACTTTATCTATTTAGTGAATTCCTAACACTACGGCCATTGGGACTAACTCAACTGTACATACATATATTTACACTTACGTACACCCACTTATATATTATAAAAGAATATGTCCCATTTCACCACTTTACAGCATTCATATGTATTGATTATCTGTATCATCTTCCATAAGGAAAGAGTCCTTCTCCTATGTGGGATAGACTGGTGTTCAACAAAATAAAAGCCAAACTTGGAGGACGTGTTCGTTTTATGGGTTCAGGTGCTGCACCCTTGTCTCCCGATGTCTCGGACTTCTTGAAGATGTAAGTTAACTAGTTTTAGCATGTTGAATGCTCATGAAAAAGTTGTTCGTATCTCCTAACTCTCTAACCAATATTTCTGTCTTGAATCTGCAGCTGCTTCGATTGTCCAGTAGTTGAAGGTTATGGAATGACCGAGACTTCATGTGTCGTAAGCTGTATGGATGAGAGTGACATTCTTTCTGGCCATGTAGGCTCTCCTAGTCCAGCTTGTGGTGAGTTATTACAGTTTTAATCTAACATACTATAAAACAGTGGCACTTTGGCTTTATTTGTGATGTTTCCTTTTAGTTTTTTGCATTAAATTCATAAATTATCCTTCCTATTTCAGAAATAAAGCTTGTGGATGTCCCAGAAATGAACTACACATCAGATGACCTGCCCTATCCTCGTGGAGAAATCTGTGTTAGGGGTCCAATTGTTTTCCAAGGATATTTCAAAGATGAAGTGCAGACGTACGCTCCTGACATGCAACCCATCTTTGTCTTCTTGAAACTTTCATATGCTAAAGATTGAATGTGTCTGAAATGTAAAAAATGGACAGGAGAGAAGTACTTGATGAAGATGGATGGCTTCATACAGGAGATATAGGGCTATGGTTAACTGGAGGTCGTCTAAAGATTATTGATAGGTAATGTCATAAATCGTACGTGCTTATTAATTAAATGTTAAAACCTCTCTAGGATCTAATGGACAGCATGTTTATATCCTTGTTTTACATATGGTGCATATAACTCCAACAGTAAATGTTGTATTAAGGACAGAAATCATGATTGTCACCTAAAATTGTTAACCATTTTTTGTCATTTGTATCCTTTTCCTCACTTTCTGGAGTACTTTGGTGCTATATTCAAATAACTGCTACCTGAATTAAATTGTCGATGGACGTGTGTCTGTGTTTCTGGGACATTTATATCTCTAGATATTGACTGGAAATGTGTATTGGTACAGGAAGAAGAACATTTTTAAGCTGGCTCAGGGAGAGTACATAGCTCCAGAAAAAATTGAAAATGTATATGCTAAATGCAAATTTATCGCCCAGTGTTTTATATATGGTAAGACAATAAGGTTTGATGATTTCCTGCTCTCCTTACTCTTCTGATACGACACTTAATTGTTTTGCTTGGTAGGTGACAGCCTGAATTCTTCATTGGTAGCTGTTGTCTCTGTGGACCAAGATGTTTTGAAAGCATGGGCTGCTTCTGAAGGCATTAAGGTGATCTATATTTTGTTTTTGGGATAATGCTATGAATGGCCCTCGAAATTATAGTGAAATGTTTAATGTGATATTTAAATTTTAAAAATCTCTAATATGATATCTAAACTATAAATTTGATAATTAATTTAGTACTTGAAGTATTATTTGTTCGTCACTTATCATCATTTATAGCTAACCACATTAAAGATGAATATCAAATTATAAATTTTTAAAATTTAAGTATTACGTTAGTTCAAAGGCCATTCATAGTATTAATCCTTTGGTTTTTTTATGTTGCAGCAAAATCAAGGATAATCTTTGATATGGTCATATTCTTGTTCTCCGGAACTTTATTTATATTGTCTTCTCCCATTTGGTGTAATGTCTATGGATACCAACTATATCGATTAATCACATGCAAATTGTTATTTGGCGATGATTGACTGCAGTTCAAAGAATTAGGACAATTGTGCAATGACCCAAGAGCAAGGGCTGCTGTCCTGGCTGAGATGGATGCTGTTGGAAGAGAAGCTCAGGCAATGCTGCTTGATGAACTCACTGTTTTGTCCAGTTATTTAAATTGCACTTTGAATTTTTCATTTCCTTCTTCGCTGGGCCTTAAATTTTGGATTGATTGATTTTGGAACAGCTGAGAGGCTTCGAATTTGCAAAAGCTGTGGCTTTAGTTCTTGAACCATTCACGGTGGAAAACGGTTTGCTTACTCCCACATTTAAGGCAAGTGGCTATACTGTTGTGTGTGTGTGTGTGTGTGTAAACCTTGGAGCAAAAAACAAAAAGGAAAATAAAGTTAACATGACAAATTCTCATCTCTTTTCTTCTTTGTTGCCAGATTAAGAGACCTCAAGCAAGGGAATATTTTGCAAAAGCAATTTCAAACATGTGTGCAGAGCTTGCTACATCTGATCCCTCTCCTCGTATCTAAGTGCGATATCAATGCAATGAAAGCAAATATAGAATCCATGACCAAGCACTCCAATGCAGAGGCAGACTAATTTTTTTTTCCCTTCTTAGCAATAGAGAGGCGGACTAGTCATACAGATTTTAACACATGCTTGCCAAATGATTCATTTATCCTTGAACCTTAAAAACATGCTTGGGAAGTTTTTATTCCATCAAGAAGAATAAAAAATAAAAAGAAAAAAAGGATGTTTGTGGCATTCTCATACACATGAAGCGAGATGTACAAGAAGACTCTGTTGAGGAGCAAAGGATTCTACATTCTCAATAGTCAAGGATGCGAATGTGATTTATATAAGTAAGGGTTCAACATTTTCTTATTGAGATAATTCTTTTCTAAAAACAAAATCGTGAAGAAAAGCTGTGGTTTTAGGCTTTCAAAGCGATATGTGGAACAATATCACAAAGTCAAAAATAGCAAGGAAACCAAATACCATGTGGTCTTCACCTGCAGGTTAAGTCCATCCACACTTTTGTATTTGGGGCATATTAGTTAAATTTTGGAATATTAATGCCTCCGTTTTTTTTTTTTTTAAATTTCCTAAAGCTTAATATATGTTTTTTGTTTTTTGTTTTTAAATTTAAATTTGTTTATTTTGTTATATGTTTTATATATGCTTAAGATTAATTTAGCTAAATATCATTTGTAATTATAATAAAAAAATTATATTTCAAATATTAAATATTTTGAACTATTTTTATAATTTTAATATTTAAAATTCTAATTATTATTTTAATATAAAATAATATGCATAATTTTTATTGAATAAAATTTTTAAAATTTTATTTGATAAAAAAAAATTGAAGTAAATTATACTTAATTATTAACTCAAAAATATCCAGAAATTTACTAAAAATTTTATTATATATAAATTGTAATTTAACTAATTTTAAATTCATGCTATGCACATGTAAGCAAATTAATTATAATTTTTTGTTGCATATAATATTATATAAAAATTAAATATTTTTATTTAAAAAATAAAGTTATTCGTGATAACATATAATGGAAAGTACTACATTCATCCTATCACTTTTCTTCCAAAAAATTTTGCCACTCATGTAATAATAGATTGCTTTTAATGGTAACATCTCATTTATAAAAATATAAATCAATTGACTTACCCCAAGAAGAAATTAAACATGAAAATTAATATTAACACCGAATTTAGGAGTAAATTGTTCATAATTTTTTTTCTAACAAAGAAGTTGCCTCAATCAAAGTAAAATAATATTACATAATTGTTTCTTTTCTAATAAATAAGGAAACTTAAGAAATCACACCCTAAACTTGCAATTTTGATTATTGTTTATGTGCTACCAATTTAATTGCCAAAAGTAATATAAGTGGGCCTTGAAAATAATATATATATATATATATATGTACTAGGTAACAAACTACGGTATATAATTTTTTTTATGTAATATTAAAAATTTATGTTAAAAGATAAAGTAAACATATTGAGTAAACATTGTATGAATATATTTATGTAGATTAAAGTTGTTTGAACACTTAAACACTAAAATTTAACAAGCTTTAATATAATAGAGATAAATAATAAAGTCTATCTTATAAAGAATTTAGGTATGTGAATTGGCTTGATGGTTGTGAAGATTTTCCCCTTCTAGAAAATAAATAGAAAAAATTGCTATAATCAATTGAAATTAAGTTGTTTGAATGTATTGAACATGTGATGTAAATTATGTATTTAATAGTAGTATGTAAGTAACATGGTGTTACTTTTCATTTAATCTTTATTTAAAGGTAGGTTTCCTGCCTTTCCTATTTAACAAAAGATTAAAGAAAATTATAGTGTTTAAAAGTTTCTTTATAATAAAATGTTCTAATAGTAGCATACTTTCTTCTCGGTTTCTTAGTTGGTGATTCCTCATCAAACAAATCTGTTAGAAAGGTAGTATTTGTAAGTGAATTAGGTGCATCTGCAGGTAAGGCATCTTTCTCTTTATGGATGATAGCTATTCCCGTCAGACAGAATAGAAGCATACTTTCTTCTCGGTTTCTTAGTTGGTGATTCCTCATCAAACAAATCTGTTAGAAAGGTAGTATTTGTAAGTGAATTAGGTGCATCTGCAGGTAAGGCATCTTTCTCTTTATGGATGATAGCTATTCCCGTCAGACAGAATAGAAGCATACTTTCTTCTCGGTTTCTTAGTTGGTGATTCCTCATCAAACAAATCTGTTAGAAAGGTAGCATTTGTAAGTGAATTAGGTGCATCTGCAGGTAAGGCATCTTTCTCTTTATGGATGATAGCTATTCCCGTCAGACAGAATAGAAGGTACTGTCCTGAACATAGCTCTTTTAGGCATCCTATTAGACGACGAAGGTTGTTCTACTTATTTTCTTTTCTGTCTCATATTCTCCAATCTAAAAGCCCTATTCTGCATAGTTTGGGTGTTATAATTTGTATCCATTCTAATTGTCAAGAAATTGTAAGATAAAAAAATAAGTTTTCAGAATAGAAATAGTATGAATTTTAATATATTAACTTTCAGTGGAAGGCATAAAAGTAGGAATCAAGATAAGCATGCTCAAGAACACAAATGAGTTAATTTAGTGATAAAAACATAAATTAAGTTTCAAATGTTAAGAGATTAGTCTAACAATGACTTCATTAAGCAACCAATAATTCATGCAAAATAAATGATTTACCTGTGACAAAATATGCTCCTGAGAAAATATGTTGGCTTCAAAATTGGAAACAAATGATTCTTGCTTTAAAAGATTAGAGAAGAGCTCGCATTATTAGATATAACATAGTAGTAGTTTAATTAATAGCTATTGGAAAATTGCAATTAACAAAAAGTATAAATCTTTTATCACCTATACAGTTAGATAAATGTAATAAGATATTATTTAACAATAATAACAAAAAATCTTATCTCATTATTACCAAAAAGCTACCTTTAATGCAATTTCTTGAAATGCTCTCCATCAGTAAAGCGTGTTACAAAAGTTGTAAATTTTTTTAAAAAATTGGAAAACCTTAGGCAAATAGATGTATGCGAACTACATTTTTTTTAATAACAACAGACTCAATTAGATTTCATGGAATTATAAATTTAAAAATTGAAGAAACTATTGGTTGCAAGAAAAGAAACCTACAATACAATCTCCTATGACGTAAGAATTGTATTCTATAAAGAGTGAAACTAAAATTGGACCTGCAATACAATCTCCCATGATGTTGGGATTGTGTTTAGCAAAGAGTGAAACTAAAATTGAAAAAATAGAAAAATGGAACAAAAACCTCAATTAAACAAATTAATGGCAGTGCCTTATGGTTTTTTTGGGTGAAATCACATGCATAGCATCATAGACTTTAATGTTATCTCTAAATGAGGCAACTTGAACAAGTAACTGATAATCTAACAAACGGTCTAGGAAAGCAGAGTTGATTGTGCCTAACTTGATTCATATGATTATTGTCCATTCTAACTGTAAGAAATATTGGTATAACAATAAGTAAAAAGCATATAATTTAGATGGATCTTAAGTAATTAAATTAATTCTCAATATGGTAAAGTTTAGATTTACCCAAACATTTTTAAAAGGATTACACGCAATAAAAGTAATGCATCTAGCTTAGTTGTGCTAGTTGTCTCTGATAATAATGGACAATAGAATACATGCATAAAATTAAGTTTTTTCTAACAATTCATTACTTGTTCAAATGAATGCTTGTAAATAATCAAACAAATAGTTTTTATCAAATGTTTTGTTAAACAGAAGTTGATAATACTTAAGCAATAACAAAACATTTGATGGTAATAACCATAGATAAATTAAGTTAAATTAACATCAACTTATTGTTCAATACTACATAATCTTTCAAATAATATATTAATTGAGCAAACAATTTTTCATATGAAGTACCTGTTTCACCAGTAGTGTGGTTTGATACTTCCAAGCATAACAAAAAATTAGCCAGTAAAGGGTAAAAAAAAGTTGAAAATTAGTAGATATTAAGAAAATTTTTGTTATATATTTTTTTAAAAATTCATATATTTTTATTCTAATGTACTTTGCAAATATGCATTTTAAAAAATAAAATTCCAATATTGTTTTAAAATTTGAATGCACCATGAAATTAACTACAACCAAATCACATGTAACATATGTAAAGTTTTGGGTTTTCAAAGAATTTAACATATTAAAGATAATTAAAAAAGAAAAACTTTCAAATATAGATTTCAATGTTTAAGCAGATTCCTCTTCAAAATCATTTTTTCAAATGATTTGTCTTTAAGTTAAGAAATAACCGGAAAAAAAAAATCTCTATATTAAAAGCGATATATCTTTGATGCAAAATTATCTAAAGGAAAACTACTGAAGAATAAAGAATTTGACAAATCCTGAATAAATCCCAAAATAGCAGAAAACGAAAATCTAATAGATCAAGCGAAATATTTTTAAGAAGGAATTAAATAAAAAATGTTCATAATTAGAATTAAAAGGTTAAATGAATGGAATTTTCTAGGAAACTAAAAATTAAAGCTAATAAACAATTAATAATGAGGAAGGAAAACAATGACTCACATACATGATGGAATCGCAAGGTGAGAATTCAGCTCCTCTGAAGCCATCCAAATTCCTTAAATTCTCCAATGTCTCTCTATGGAGGGAATTCAAAAAAACATCTTGAAATAAATGAAGAAGAAACAAAGAAGTCGAGAAATGAAAAGGTTGAGAAAGAAAAATGAAACATTTTTATGTACTCAACCCTAAGAGATGAGGAATTAAAAAGGGTGAGGCAATTAAAAGTAATTGATTTGAAAAACAAATAATATTTATCATAACGGTTTTGTGTCCGTCAGATGAATTTAAAAAAATATCTATGGAGTTGCCACCAATCTTTTCTAATTAGGTGTGATTGGCCACCTATTAAAATTTATCCTTTTAACAAAATTTTAAAATTAATTAAAATTTATTAAATAGATAATTTTATAGTCTACAAAATAGTTTGGGTTTGAAAGTTGGTTACGCGTGGGGAAAGATTAGCACCCTCACAACGCCCGTTAAAAAATGATACCACTTAACTATGTGTTATCATTTGATTTTGATAAAAAATAATCTTATTTTTTGTGTTTGAAAAATGATTTTCTTGATTTTTTTTTCATTTATTAGAAATTGTTCTTTTTTTTTTAAGTTTATTATTCAAATTTTATTTGAGAAAAAATAAATTAGAACCCTTTTATTGAAATGATTCTTAAAATATTTCAGTACGTTAGTAATATTAAATGAATTCTTTTTTACTTAGAGATTTCTTAGGCATCACTTTTTAGAATACCTTAGAATTTCATTTTTGGAGGCTCAAATTTATTTTTCTTTTATAAAAAC